CTTCTCTTCTCTTCTCTTCTCTTCTCTTCTCTTCTCTTCTCTTCTCTTCTCTTCTCTTCTCTTCTCTTCTCTTCTCTTCTCTTCTCTTCTCTTCTCTTCTCTTCTCTTCTCTTCTCTTCTCTTCTCTTCTCTTCTCTTCTCTTCTCTTCTCTTCTCTTCCGTTCTGTTACATTACAATCGTACTCTTTTCCATTTCATTTTATGCAGTTCTGGTCTATTCCCTATATTTCTATTATCAAACCGTTTTATCATATTTCATTCAATTCTGTGGTGTTTATTTCGAGTCAATTCCACCTTTTTTGTAATCGGAAGAAACGACAATAATCTCGAAAAAAATAAAAATGTGTGTCACTTAACCTGCAAACGTTCTTAATTCGGTATGACAATTAATGTAATGCCTTAATTCACACTAAAAACTTAAATGACGATTCCTGTTCGATTTCCTTATATGAATGTTATTATGGCGAATAGAGTAACATCATGAAAAGTTTCAGGAAATTGAATTTCCATTTGACAAGTATATCTGCCATCATGCACTTCAACTATTGGGATTTTTACCATTTCATCAGTGCTATAATATGAATTGTGTATAGATATATCATATTTTGTTCTGACGTACAATTCTTCGGTTCATTTCTTCATTCACTATCTATTGTTTTGGTTGTGAATTATTGAACTATTCTTTGATTTYGTCCCTTCACTTATCGCCATACGTTCGGATCTTCCTAGTCCTGTCCATAGTCTCGCCAACGGTTTCGCCCGTTCATTTAAACATTCATTTACTGTTCTCTTCACTGTTTCTTTCAATCGCCAATAAATTAATCCACAAATTATTTTTCCTCATTAAATTTATATTTATCCATCATTCGGCAATTCGCTCATTTTTTCACTTTCATTCATTCAAGTCATCTGTCCAATTGCCATTGTTATTTGTTTATCAATTGATTGGTCTTCGCACATTCAATAAAAATATTTCCGATCAAAGATAAGTCCTTGAGGCGCTTTAAAGTCTAAGCATTTAAAACCCTTTTCCCTGGTGAACCCAAAACAACCTGAGGAGTGATATGGAACTGCAAGTGTTATGCATTTTAATGGCACCTTTTTGTAGCATCCGTTTTTTAGATAAAAATGTCCTCTCAATAGAAGCTAAGCATCGATGAAATCGCGATACGTGATGGACTTCTTTATAGTATTGATTTATGCTTCAAGAAGGTCAGAGTGTCAACAGTTTTCGTTTTAGGACAAAAGCTGTGCAAATGTCATAATTACTGAGAAAAGTTGTTTAGTTAAATTCTGCTCTAGTATTGACAATAAGAGGTGACACAACGAAAGGAATCATGTTGAGGCCGAGTCTGATATAATTTGGCTTTTGTCTTCCGTTGAACGGAAAATTTACGACAAATTGTCGTTGTTTGTGTACCTTTATATCAGTCAAAATGAGATGATGGTCTTATTTTATCATGATAGTCAAATAGACTCAATAGCAAATATAAAAGATAAAAATGACGAAATACTCATAAAAAAAACACAGGAAACAAAATTTCTAAATCATGCTTTGAATCCGAACAGTAATGGCTGCATCCATCCGGTGGGCGATTGAGAGTACGTGTTCTTCTAGAAGTGGTTTCAGTGTTAAGTAAAAATAGCTTTATTTTACCAGTAATGTGTAACATGTAGTTTAAAGAGTATTTTCATTTCAGCGTTATGTAATGGTTTTACATCAATCACATAAAATCAATTTAACGATGATYAAGACCTTTGGGTTTTTCATGAAGTTTACCATCTTTTGTAATTCCCACAGTCTTCTTTATATTCCTTAACTATAGTTTTTGTTTGAACAAAAGGAATTTATTATTATTAATAAAAAGGTGTATATTAAAAAGAACAACAAACAAACAAAAAAAATACTACTTTAGAGCTCAGTGAACTATGGTTTATAATGTCTGGCCAGGGATTTGACGTCTTTTTATGTAAACTTGAATCTTCAAGGGAGCTAACATTTATTTTGTTGATGAAATAACCAAGACATGATAAATTAACATTCAGTTCTTCGATGTATGAAATGATCCAAGTAAGATGGATAACAGTATAAGTCCGTAAGATAACAATAGCCCGGTGTTTGACTATTCTAGCGGCAAATGTTCAGGAGAAAGTAGGTAAACATCAAGTCCATAAGAACATTCTGCACTGATTGACTTCATTGTACATGTAAGGTTTGATYACGGATTTCAACTAATATACTGTCAGCAGTGAACACTATGGACGTTTTTATCAAACTAGATTGCTTTTTTGTGCATCAATTGAAAGGCCTTGATAAAAAGCATGGAATTACTAGACTAATTGATATGTAATTATTCTCCACCYTAACAGACGACCAGGTGCCTAAAATCTTTCACTGACTATTGCGATAGCGTCGTTATTACTTTGTTTTTGTCGATGTTTTGGTTCAGTAATGGATCTTTTAGTAGTGTTTAAAGTGCCAGCATGAGTTTTAAAAGTCTTCAAGTCCTGGGCGCGTTCTTAATGCTTGATCGTTGACAGTCTCAATTTTTTTGTTTTTTGTTTGCTTTTGTTCTCATTTTATCATTTTGATTTTGTGTTTAGCGGTTTTTTCCCCTTTTCTTTCTTTTTCTTGTACATGATGCTTTTTTAAAAATGTATGGAACATGTATTTACAGTATCTGCATGGATGGGGTCTCATTGACAAAGCATATCAAGGCATAAAATCCAAGRCGCTTAATTTCGCTGTAGTTCCAACCCGAACCTTTTCTCAGTCCGGAAAAATAAATCTTGAATTAAAATTCAAAATCTGTGAACTAAGGTTTTATAAAAAATACGAGTAATCTAGCCTAAGGCAAGTTTTGGCGAGACTTTCCTATTACTGTAGCGTTGTAAATAGACATTGCGAAACTAACCTATTGCCTTGACCTGCTATGTGATCCCGGAATTAATATTATGTTTTGTAGAGCGCCATTTTCTTAGCGTCTTTTTACTGGAAGCGCGTCCCTTTTTGTTTTATTGTATTTTGTTGTAGTTATCACGACAATATAGGAAGCTTTATCTCATTTTTGTAAGCATTTTTCCAGTGTTTTAATTTCTAGGATTTTATTACGTTATTTCAGTTTATGTGGCAATTCGTCAAAACAAGATACCTTCAATRTGGAAGTAATGTCTTTAATGCAATATCGTGGAGAATTTGAAAAAAARGCATTCGAGTTGTGATTTGACAATGAAACTAATATAGTGAGTACGCGGAGTGTCTTTTAAAATAGGGAATCACTGTAAAAGGCTTTAGTGATATTTGGTGCGATAAGTCGGCAGTGCGCGTGCTTTGCATTCATTATTAAATCATGAGCGGAGTTCCATTGATCATTCCTTATAGTCATCGATAAGCATCATACGAAACGAGTTATTTAATAATTTGATATCCTGATATACTGAATCACATATACAATAATTTTTTATTTACAGAACTACATTTAACGTAAAATAATCATCATTTACAGACAAGCGTATTTGCTTTAGACAATAAATAGCCTAATTTCCCATGTTGTCCCTGTTTACCGCTGCGCCGGTAATTTCAAAACGTAACTTTGTTTATACTGTTTTAGGTCTTCCGTCGAAGCCAAATTGTCTGTTTTCCGTCCTACACGTCAATAAGTCAGTATGATTTTGTCGATGTTATTCTTACATTTCAGATTGAAAGAACTATTTTCACTGACCGTAGAATTTGACTTTCGCGGGTATCGCGGTTCGCAAGTACCTCCTACGACAACCGTACAGCACGCGCTCTTCCCACCCGAGGTCAAAACGACCTCGGGTCAACTTTCTTCTTTCCAGTTCAAAATCCATTTTCCTATCCAAAAATCCTATTCAAAGTCAGTATTCTTCGATTGAAGAAAATAAACAGATAAAGTGCAATTTCAAAAATGATAAGTTCGCACGTGCCCAATTACCTACTCTCGAAATTCGAGATGGCAACTGAGCTTTGCTGCATGCATCTACAACTCAAAAGCGTCGATCCTTATGTTTTAAGTGGTCAATGTTACTTATGTTATAATTATAAGCATTCTCTGCAGAAGGCTGTAAAAAGTTTATTTATTTAAATTTGAGTGCACAAAAAGGGCGCGAATATCGAAGGCACTCGCAAAATTATGAGTGACGGCGATATCTCAAAAGGAGTTATGACACTCCTCATATCTTCGCTTTTGAAAGTAATTAAGGAAAAATGTATCTAATGAACCAAGGAAAAAAATTAACATTTTCCCTCGAACATCATCAATTAAAACTAATTCAACTGCAGTAGATGCAGTTTAAGTCGGTGTTTTTTCTTATAGTGTAGGAATTAGATTATATATTAGTCTAACCCCGCTTTACTGTGTATATGTTCTTCAAGTCGTATAATATATAATAATACTTAATAAAGTCATTCAAAAGTCACACTCAAGTCTTTCAAGTGTGTGGAATGTTTGCAGATGTAGAGATTTAGCCAGCATACTGTAATTTAGTAGTTATAGTGGCAAAATTCTCATTCAATAATTCTCTCAGGTGGTATGATTGTTTTCAGTCTTCAGCTGTAGGCCGTCCACATCGTCGTTAATGTCGATGTTATTTTGTCTTGCTCCCGAAATATCATCGTCGTAGTTGTCAATTCGATTTGGTCTTGGCCTGGTAACTTGAGGAGACCGAGTTGTGGGGGAAGTGGTTCTTGTAAAAGTTCTTGTAATTTGTCGCCCTTTTTCGCAAACATTCAAAATCTTGAATACTGCMGCTCTTATCTCTCTGCTTCTGAGGCAATAGATGATGGGATTGAGTGTTGAGTTAATAAACACCAATGTTTCTGGATAAGATACCATCATGTACCTTGTTACAGCGTCTATTTTATTACCAACAACCAAATCCACAAGAACCACTACAACTATAGGCAAGTAACAAACCATTAAAGCACCGATGATAAACACCGCTGTCTTTAAAGCTTTCTTRTGGCGTACAGCATCTGTACCTGTTTGCTGATCAGAGGGCTGGTGAGTGTCTATTTGATGCTGGTGCTGCTTTGCCAACTTGATCATCTTAGCGTAGATTGTGCTCAGAATTACGAACGTTAAAATCAGAAAAGAGACACACACAAGTTGGACGTATCGCCCTGCCAACCCCTGAGTCCAGGAAGCTACTACAATGATCCAAAACATCCAAGCAAGAATGAGAGTGATGGAGGTTTTAGTAGCTGACATCCAGGAGTAGTAATTGAAGGGGAATGTTATGGCAACACATCTATCGCAGCTGATGAACAGAGCAGTCACCACCGACATCAGCGAGCACAGAAACTTGACACTATCATACACTCCATGCACAATACAGTTCTGTTTTCCAATTAGTACTTCTGCGTGAATAGCGATGTTCAAAGGTTGAACAACGACTCCAACTAACACGTCGGTCATGGCCAACCAAGCTAGTAAGTAGTTGGCGTGAGAGCGAAGACCATTTTCGCGCCATATGGCGCACATTATCAGGCTGTTGAATACAATTGCAGAGAGAGCTGTTGGACAGTTCAAAATACAGTTGAGGACGGCGGTTGCTATAGCTTCACTTGTTGGATCGATGTAATGTACGATGAAATTCCCACACTGCGTTCCTGGTGGTGCGCTAATGTTCGCCATGTTTCTCCTCTTTCCTTTTTTGCAGTGAATAAACCAAAGACAAACCGAAGCATTARCATCAGCAATATCTTCAGTCAGAGAGCACCGTTCACCTACAAGCTAATTGATTCCGTGTCGCAAGTCATATTACGTCGGAGTCTGACAAATGAAATGGACCTTTTCAAAARTGATTGAATCAGCTGTTGTCGTTTTGTTTGGTTGGCAAAGCTGTCATTAATACCTTTTGAAAGGACTCGTATACTTACAAGATAGGTGCTTCCTGAATCCGGCTAACGTCATTTATTGTACGTGAACCATTTTTGATAAATCTTCGGTCTTTTTTTTTCGAAATCTCTATATAAACTTTGATGATGCAACTGATCCTACATTTTATGCCGCATCAATATTTTGTAGTTTAAAAACGTTTTGTAGAGTCTCTTCTTAAGAGAGATGCCACCAAGATCGTCTACTGAAATAGTGTTTCATAAAGGTTATGTATTTTATAGAATTTTATCCGCTCGGCTCAGCTAATCACACACGCCTCTTCAAAACATCCAATGATAAAAAAGCCCAGTGGTTAATTTGCATAATGTTAAAGAGCCTTGAAGCCTCACTGACATTTACAAATACTAAAAAAGGACTCGTTACAAGTGCAATTATTGCAAAAGGTGTAGACTTTGTATTCATTTATCAGTATTATTTTAACTCGAGTGACGTGAATTTCTCCAATCTTTGAAAAAAATCTAAGTAAAAGATCTGTAAGTCCTTTTAATCTTTTGATTTTGCTGTTAAGGGAAGGATTGCTTTACAAGTGCCACAAGCGGCAAACCGAAAGAAGGAAAGATCTTTAGACAACATCGGATCTCAGCAGCGTTTTCTACTTGAGATATTTGGAGTGTATACTGCTTTTTTGATCGCCGTCACGGCCGATAGTACCTATAGGGACAATTATATCCATCTGTTTTTGGATTATATAGTTTTGGTTAAATCTTTTTTTTTTTTCCTGTACGTTTTCATTTAATTTTTTACTRTAAAAGAACAATGTAAAACTCGCCGAGACCTTTGAAACAAACAAACACACTCGCAAACAAGCAAACAGAAAACTGTTAAGTGACTTAGGAATCAGTTCATTGAAATTCTCTAGAAATGCTTAAAAAWWTTTTTTCCAGTCAGACCGTCTGACTTGACTGACCGAAATGACGATTTCTTTGTGTATTATTGCCTGTATTTTCCCGAATACAGGTATATTGAAACCATATTAGTTCAATGTAGCAGCCCTCGCAGTAATATTGACATCCTGACACTGACCCTGGGTTAATCAAAGAAAGAAAATGAAGAACAAGTGGATTTTAACCAATAGTTTCCGAGGTATTCACATTAAAGATCTTTTCAGATTATGTACTGATCATTATTTTGGGATTATAATGTTTGGCTGTGTCATTTCTCGGGTTACATCCATATGTACCAAAATTGCTACACGTTCACAAAGGCTGTCAAAAAATAAGAAAAAAAAGAACTAACAATGGTGATGGAAGTTTAATCCTTAATTGTTACTTTTCCTAAATGATTTTACATTCGGAAATTGATTGTGATTTCCATGTTAAGGGAAATCGTTTTCCCTCCAAAGTTTTTTATAATATTTTGAAATTCGAAATCTAGAACTGATATGTACACATCCAAAGTTGACCATAAGTAAACCACACTAAACAAAAATACCTTTTATTATAGAATAGCACATGAGATAATGGAAATTATGACTTGTAATTGCTTGTAGTTGGTTTTACTCTAGGTTTGTGCAAATGTTTCACTACTACTGAAGCAAATATACAAACTGTATTTAGACAGATGGTTTGCAGTGGAAGAAACGCCCAGAAAAAAATTATCTTGATAATAAATTAGGTATTTGCTGCCTGAAAGGCTGAATGATTTAGTTTTCTCTAAGATTATAAAGTGAGATTTACGGATATTACTGACTAGAGACACTTTGATCAACCAATTTTTCTTTTCCACGTTGAATATGTCAAATAGATTCAGCCRGGCAAAGATAGCCATCTTTTTCTGCAATATTCGTGTAATTTAAGGAAATTTACCCAAGATGTTGAATGAATATAGTACCATCGATGATGTCCGAGATTCTTTAATGACGTCACAGCACAAATATAGAGAATGAACTTGAATTTCTTAATTGGAAAATTTGGCCTCAAAAAGGATTAAAAGAACCTATTTTTGTTGTTTATTTATTTGTTTTTGAGCAATTCATACTGTATGTTACGTCTAAAAGTGCTGCAGAGCCTGAAGGAACGAAGAAAAATGTTCAGTTTCAGAATAAATTATAATGTGGCATTAGATATAATATCACTTCCCGCTGCAATTTCCCTTGTTCGAAAATTAACGTGTATATCTCCTTCCAATCTTTGAATCGTACCATTTTTGCTAGAAATGTTGGGCTTTATTTTCTAAGCCATCTAAAATATTGAAAGCTGTAGAAGACATATTCACGAAATGACTTTAAAATGTACAAAATGACTAAATGCTTTCCCAATATAATTGACTTGACTGAAAAGATCACTTTTGTTTGTTGTATTTTACTGAACACAGCCTTTGCTCGTGGAATCCGTGCCGCATTATTGTAAAATCAACTTAGTACAGCTCTTTTTATGGATTATTGTAACTTATAGAGACCATAATCACTAAGCTGATAAATGTACCAGGAATTAGATATCTACGTACATGACAATCTTACTGAAATAATCCTTATGAGATGTTTTTCCCCAAGGTTGTTTACCAATTCCTTTTCCTTTAGTGCGTCAATGGCCCTTTGGCTTTATAACGGTATGCATTTACTTGAAATCTCTTCTTCATCAAGTATGTTGTAAAGAAATGTTAAAATGCGACTTTGTTCATTTGTGTTACGGTATTGGTCAAATAAGAATGGCTTTTGAAAGAAATAAAGAATAGAGTAGAATAAAAGAAAAGCGAGATAAAGCGAGGACCCACACATTACAAATCCATCCTAAAGCGATTAGCATCTATTCTRTAGAGCAGTATGGCTTTAATGCGGATAAAAACACATAAAGGCCACCAAGGTGGATTATCGTTGACGAYGGCATTGTCTACAGTATACAGTGGTACCGCTAAATACAACCAACAGCAACACTTGACACTATAACAAAACGATCCTCATTCTATCCTTTAAAATTGCTTTAAATTCAAGTTAAAAATCTTAATATTGGATTTTCTTTTTAATATCGTACGTAAGATACACCGGTAAATTAAAACCATGAAAGAACGGAAAAATTTGTGCAATTCTCCAAATTAACTATAAAGGAAGAAAATGCAGCCAAGATCATGATATTGAGCAGTGCGGGGGAAAGCGAAGTAATAGACGGGAGGAGAGATAGGAAATTGATAAGTCAGAACGGAACAAAAACAGAAAAAAAAGACAAAATATATGTATACATGTATTTGGGACTTTCCTTCATTTCCCATGGAACATTCTGGCCATCTGTAAAACGGCACTAATTTCCCTAGCATATTGAGTTTCACGTCATATTACTATCAATAATGTTTAACTTACTTTTTTTAGTAATGTGATATTTAGCCAGTAATGACACTCGAATGGAAAAAAAAGATCCTGAAAGAACTCCAATTAGAAGATGGAAAACGCATTAATCAATTAAGAGAGGAATTTTCTCCTCAAACATCACTGGTTTGTCAATCAATTGTTGTAGTTTGCTAGTGTTGCTACATGTAGCTTATGTTATTGTTAGAGTTGCTGTAATTATAGTTGCGCTCTTTTGAAGTGTTGTAATTATGCTGGCGTAGGTTGTTGTTGCTATAGTATTCTCAGCGTTGTCCGTATTAGTGCATTAATAATTATTCTATGAAAGTTGTATGTATAGACATTATGTAAGTATTACTTGTAGTATTGGTAGTCATTGACTGACTAATTTTGTTTTGCTGCTATACTATGATTTGATGTTGTTGATTCATTTGCTGCAATTCCGTTGTGTGTCCCCTAAACTATATAATATTTTTTATCTGGTCATTTTTTCAAATRCATTTTAACGCTTTGGCTTTTGTCTGTAATGAAGGCGCTTGTTTGGWGTTTTTCTGACGATATTAAATGCTTTTTAAGGGTAAGGGGCTAAGAATTAATGACTGAATCAATATATTATTGAGCATTTAATCCAAATTTCCTTTGTTGTTGCTTTTCGTAAAAAAATTCTTTGATCCTGGTATCAATTAGTATCTTCTGTACAAAGCCACACCCTTTTGGGAAAAGCTAGATTTTTTATTTGAAGAAGTGGAATCTCGAAGTYATATGACGAGCTTTTACTCTTGGATACTTCTCTTCTTTCATAACAATGGGTGAATACAGAAAATGTATTTAGATTTATGTATACTTTTAGATTAGATTATTAATATTCTAATATATTTCCTTTTTCTTTTATATTTTTTATATTTTTTCCTTTATTTTATCGTTATTGTCATTTATTTGTTCTTCCATCTTTAAGCACAATTTCCGTTGTCACACTGCTGAAGTTTATTCTGATTTGAGCAGTTAAGACACGCCTTTATATTTTGAACTTCACGATCTCAAATCGTAATTATATTCTTATAAACGAAGATACGTGCAAAGGAAAACGTGGCAAATTTTAATTATTATTTCATGGGAAACAACATCCCTTGATATAACTGCCAACATGCCGCTCCGTGTCATTGTCATCATTATTTGTATTTCAAACGTTAAAATCGCGGTACCTTAAATCTCAAACCTGTGTTTACAGTTAGAGTGTTACAGCCTAATGGAGGCTCATTCAATGTGCATAGATACTGATAATTACTGCTCTTCAGGGCATGAGATAGGTATCTGAAATTCAAATGCTTTATACAGTTTACTGTATTTTGGTACCCAAAGGTTCTCTCTTTGTTTGACGAAAGACAATAAAATAAGTTAGTATTATATAAATTATAAATGATGACAAATTACTAATATAATTATGATTTATTTTTTCTTATTCAAGTATTTACATTTATGTCATAATCATAGCACATGTGGATGTACAATCATTTCCAAAAAATCACCTGTCGGCTAACACATATCACATAACGAGTCCATAGTGGGCGGTGATTTCAGTTTCTCCCAAATACCACAGACTAAAAGCGTGAAGCCGTTTCCATTTGACTGTTCAAGACCAATTAGACTAATAGTTGGTATCCAACACTGAATTTGTTGTTTTCTTTTGTTCTTTAGAAACAAATACTAAAAAATTAGTCCTTTTTATTTAGAGAAATATAAAATGCGGCGCGTCTCTGTCTTCTGATATAAACACGGTCGCCAGCCAATCAGAGCGCGCGTTATATATCAAATATTYTATAAAGTACGATTGAATGAAAACGACTCTAACCAAATAGTGCTAAATTGTTCGATATAGTGTAGACTAGACAATAGAAGGCAATCTCATATGAAGTACGCATAGGTCGGCATGKCGAAACATCCTTTAGCAATATCATTCACGACATATTACCTAGATGGCGTTTACATGTGTCTAGTTCTTATTTGCGTTTTCAAAAGTATCAACGTGGAAAACYTTTTTTTCAAATATCCAGATACGCACATCGTATAAGGTGGTTTCGTCTGAWCCGAAAGACCTAAACGTATAATAATGTRTTTTCGAAATCCATATGCGTGCAATGAGTTGAATTTTGTTCAGCTTTTAATATGAATTGCCACTAAAAAAATTATGAATTCTAAAATTAGAAATTTGTCAAGTACGCACTTGCGTCTTTTCACTGTGGACGCTATGTCCCTGACTTCGCTTTKRAATTCTCAAATTGTTCTTCGCAGCTMTTTATGTCTAAATAGATAAGCATGAAAGCTTAGTGATTTTTCATTTGATGTTTTGCAAATGAAACCGATTTTTTTAGCTTTTTTTGTTGTCGACAAACCTCCCAGCTAGGAAAGCTGCAAAGTCAAGAAGAACTCCAATTTCCTTTTTACTTTTGAAAATACCAACGTTCCATTAAGTTTTTCGCTTTATATGTTTGGCAATGTCCTRTCAATTAAATGGGAATTTTTGCTTCGTTTTCGATGTTGCTGTAGGAAAATCTCGATTGTCTGAGCGAAAAAGAAGTTATGGTTACCATAGCAATCATATTATTAAGCTTATGTTACCATTTCTCTAAACCAATCAAATTGCAGGATTTTTTTAACCATATCATAATGATTATAATAAATGGTTTTCCTTAAAATGTGACATGATATGCTTGAATTTTACACAAATTTGTTGATAATCCAATGCTAATAACAATATATCCTCTCCTGGGTTTCCGAGGATCATAACGATAATAAGACAGATACTTATAAAGAACCTCATTGAATTTCTTGGTAGCGAACATATCAGATAACAAGAATTTTTATAATAMATCACTACTAAATATTCAATCGCGCTTCCTACCCAAATTGTAGACATTTGTGTTTATTCATCGCCTCCATTGAGCAATATTTTCAGATTTTCACTTTTACATCTGACTTGAGGAAAAATTTTTACTCTTACTAAAAGTACTTTTATTTTTTTATACTTTATTTATTTTATCTCTGAGTAAAATTACTTTTATTATTATTATTTTGTTTTGAGTACTTTTATTTCTCCTCTCCACGAATGAGCAACTAATTTGAACTTGTTAGTTTTTATACTCAAAAACCAGGTTTATTATATGAGTACAAATTGTTGCATTTGTAATCGTTGCATGCTGCTGCGTTTTCGATCTGTTCAGTGATGCAGTCAATCTCAATTGCAAACACATAAAGACAACAAAAAATCATTTGCACTGYTAAAAGTTTTTACGATTCACTGTGAAAACAATTTAATTCAAATTAATAAAAAATTAAGACAATTAATTTAGACAACTTTTTTACTATTGTTATTAGAATTATTGTTGACTTTCTCATTATTTATAATATTAAAAAAATAAATCTTATTAACATTATTATATTGTAGAAAATTGTAAAATATAGAGGATATTACATGGGAACGCGGASATACGGATTTGTATCTTCGAGTGTTGAAAAGATCTCTCACGAGTGAGCGTAGCGAATATTCTGTTAATCATATAATTACATATGACAGCAAATTATGTCGTAAAATACCTCTTTTCTTGCTTTTACTATATAGAGAAACCTCGAATGTGTTATTTTCATTAGTGAAAATATCRATTTTACGAAATGGAGAAATATAGGTATTTCATAGATAATTATATGATAAATAGAGGATATTAMGCGGTGACGCGAAGATAAATAAAATTAATATCTTCAAGCCACCGTGTAATGTTCTTTTTATTATATGGACAAACTGAAGCAAAACAAATTAAGAATAACTGTTGAATTTTAATGCAAAGAAAACTGAGAAACATTCATTACAAGTGAACGTGCTTCTTTTTAGGTATCGATGAATGCTTTGAATAAAGGCTCGGATTGATGAGGGTTCATATTTTTCTCCACTCTTTTTCTTGACAGCCAAGATGAACTTCATAAGAATATTTTGAAGCTCAGAAAATATCAGTGTTTCTATCTTCCTGTCTTTGTTTATAGAGGCCATGTATTCCCTGAATATTCGAATGTCGTATTCTGTTTTCTTCATTGTGTTTTGGTTCTCACTTTCTTTTGAAAATTTATCCACGTCTTTCTCTGAGATTTCTACAATTTAACTTAGTGAACAAGCGACGAGAAATGGACGGGAAAGTTGTTTTGATATGACGCGCGTACATCTGGGACATTTTGGTACATAACTTTTTCATATCTTYACTAGTGAAAATATGGAAAATATGAGTGTTTTAGTTTCCGGTAAAACACTACTATCCATATAATAAATTTTAATATTGTAAATTTTCATTTTAGAGATATTTAACAAATAGATCTCATTTTTCCGTGCGTGTGTACTCTAATAGATACACAGATGACGTCAAAATGTAGTGAGAACAAAAAAGTACGCACGAGACGCAGTCGAGTGCGTGACTGTTGTTCTCACTACATTTTGACGTCATCTGTGTATCTATTAGAGTACACACACACGGAAAAATGAGATCTATCTGTTTTATACAACAAACAATTAGTTTTGACGTAATCCGTGTATCTATACTTTGATAACACACGAAAGCCAACCAATCCAAACGGTCTGATTTTACTGAAAAGTTGTATAATTTTCAATAGACAATTGAAGTGTTGCAACATTATCAATGAATATACTTGCAAAAATTAAAATTTGAATGATATTTCCAATTTCTTTTTGTTATTCCTGAGATCAAATTTAGCGCATGAAAGTAGTCACAAAKGAAGTTCTAGAAACTGTTACGTGAGAGTTTCTAACCCTCTGGAATGCTTTTTATTAAACACCTATTAAAAAAAACGCTGTGGCGTCGCTAGGACATAGTCCACAGTCTCGAGGCTGCAAAGAATCTCAGGCTTTCCATGAAAGATTTTYCACGCCTTCAAACGGAAAACGAGAACTTTTTAATAACTGAAAGTGAATACACAGTAAAAACCCGCGTATAAGAACACCTATTTTGGCGGTTCAGGCTGATTTGGTTCTTATACAAAGGGTTATRATCTGAAAAATCAGCCTTTAAGTGTTCTTAAGTGTTCAGATAAAATAAATAGAACAATACATATTTTTTTGTTTATATTTTGTTACATATATTTGGGGTGGAACTAATATGTGTGCAATGAAAAGTAGTGTTGATCTTTRATATTTTTCTATATAAGAACAACTTTCATTTTTCAGGCTGAATGTGTTCTTATAATAAATGGTACTTTATTTTCTAAAATCAGGCCTGKGTGTTCTTAATCCACTTGTTCTTATACGCAGGTTTTTACTGTATTGTATATGCCAATACCGAGATTTTTTGCAGACTCAAGACTGTGGAATGTGTCCTGGCGACAAAAAAAAAAAAAATGACATGAAATAGGTGTATACCTTATTGCACACTAGATAGTCGTCCTCTATAATTCGTGTTAAACTCAAGTCTTGAATTTTTGACCATCCTACAAAATACTCAGCTAAAGAAAAATCATTGCGGAAAATGCCATTCAACATTTAAAAATTGTTCCCATGTACAAATTGTCGTTTTTATGCTAACTGTAAACTTTGAAAATATATCCTGTTATATGCAGCCATGGAAGTGATGCTTTAAATCTTGGACCAATCCCATTGCTCTGTTTCTCCGATTGTTATACTCGTGCAATCATGACATCTCAGAGCAGGGACGTCTGCTCAGAGTACCATCTTAGAAAACTTTCGTATCTACTGATTATGTTACATGGAGATTATTCATACTTTAACAAGATCTCCTGTCTTCAGTCTACTGTGGATATCCAATAAAAACAGCWAATAAATGAAAAAGTCGGGATGATAGTCAGATAGTACGACTTAGTAATGACTACAATCTATTTAATTTTCAGACTGTGATGCTGTAAACTAACATGCATGATGCTAGTCTTTTCATAATGTATTCATATGGCTCGTTCCTTATGGAAAATGTCCATTTCACAAAGCTCTTTTAAAAATATCTTTTGAACTTTCGAACTTAATATGAATGTACAGCTTGCAAAAGGAACGAACTTGAACTAAACACAATTTGTACTTGAACAAAGAGCATTCTTTTTCTCTAGTGTTTAGTAATCTACTTTCCTTTTTCATACTGTTCATTTATCTTGATCAGTAATCATAACAAGTCACAGCTGAAAATGTTTCTAATTCAAAGTTATTTCCACTGACATGCAGAATTCTGATTRATACTTGGGCAGGTACGTGACTGAGTAGCATTCCAATACGTGCTTATAGCATTTTCAAAACGGCCATTCGTTGAACAACTTTTCTAATGTAGGCTCCAAGACACAAATCTAATGGTTTTCAGGAGGTACTTTCACTGCAGCGTATTTTGTTTCTTCGTAAGGCGGAGGTCGTTTTGTATTATGCCATGCATTGCAATCAAAAGCTGCTAGTTCCGCATAGTTGAGATCATGTGGACGGCTTGTTGTCTAAACAGAACATTCAAAACATTTAGTATTCATTATCTTTCCTTATGACGTCATGCTGATTYAGTTAAGTGTAAATGACACCCTTTATGAAATCACTTTTATCCGAAACGTGACTCATAACTTTGGCTTCTTTCAAGCACTTAAAGATAACCTTGTCCAACCTCTAAAGCAATTATTACCTATAATATGGATGTTATATATATTCTATGCAAGTAATTAGTGATTTACATATTCTTTTTTTCTTTCTTTGTTTGTTTATTCGGATGAATATATTTAAGGTGAAGTACCCTTACTATAAGTCTAAAACGTACACAATAAACGGTAAATTCAGTGAAAACTAGTTTCGTTCAAAAACCTCTTCAGTTCACTAATGAAAGTTCATTCACGAATAAAAGCAAACAAACACTAATGGAGCGCGCGCACACTCAGATTTAAGTGATTTTTGCGCGCGGAATGCTCAAAAAGTTCCATTCTTCTTTACTGTTCATTTTTGGTTCTTCTTTGTTGATCATCACGGCTTCGCTAACTTGTCTCAGTAGGGAGTCCCTATTATGCACTCCAGTTACTCGACTCGTAAAGTCGGGTATCACTCCATCATGCTTTTCTCTCGCGTGCTTCCACAGTACAGATCTATCCTTCTATAAGTCCATATCCTTGATGTGTTCCTTTCCCCTCGCATACGTACAACATGATGTTTCCCCTATATGTCTGACGGCATTATTTACACTCAATCTTATATGTGGCATTWGGAGCATTGCAAGGACCCATCCCCCCTGTTTATTGTTTTCAGGCTGAAACTTAGCAAACCAAATTTAGTTACTGCATATATGTGCTTTTACAGGAAAGACACTGTTGTTTTTAAAACGATGGTTCAATTTGAAAGAGCTTTCCATAATATACGGAACGTTCATTGTTTTCCGCAATGGTTTTGTGTAAACGTTAGACCTAAACGCAGTTTGAAAACTACCCAGATAGGTGGATGTCTTAGTGKGGCACTAAGAATTTGTCGGAGGATTAACGTCCGAAACGTCATCAGTAAGTTGTTTCACCTATTTTTACGATGTTAAATTTATATTTTTACACAACAGTATTTCGTTAGAAACACCGGCCACCATTTTGACTAAAAAAGACCCTGTTTACATGAGATAGGGTGTCCCTACGTGATAGAGCTAACTCTTTTGTTTTCTTTAGTTCCCTGGAGGATTTAAAACAAAGGATTTTGGTCCTACCAATAGGGTCACCCTATTTCATGTAAACAGGGTCTAAGAAGTTGACAACGSATTTCAATCATCATTTGTAATACTCTACCTGAACCAAAGGTATGTGTGCAGCTGACCTGAAGCTGTCAATGGTTGCGTACACTGGATATTCTTTATGTGCAAAGTTTCTTACGTTCTCTTCATAGACAGGTGCAAATGTAGTCAACACTGTTTGATTGCAAACCTTGCCGCTGTACTTAGGGTTTGTGGGCACGGCAACAATACTTGCGTACTGTGCCTCTTTGGTTGGTGCAACGACATCTGATTTAATAAGATCAACTCCAATATCTTTAATATTAAGTCCGTTTACATAGCCATTAGGAAATGTTTCTATTCCATGTTGGTGTTTTGGTGTTCCATGATTAAAGTGTTTGCTGTTATTATAAACTTGATTATGTTGTTCTTCTTCTTTTGATGTAGCATCACAAGAAAACTGAACGTCACTGTCAATCATGTCAGACTCGTCTTTGTTGTCAGTATAATCCGATGATTCACATTTGTTCGATCCATCGTCGGCATTCTCTTGCTCATCAGTTGATTCGACTAGGATTTTGACTTTTTGAGAACCGTTAACGTTGTTCTCAATCTTGCTTACTTTACCATTGTAATTCTTGGGACTCCTGAAATGAAATAAGAAGCTTTATTCACAACAGTCCRTGCAAATGCAAGGGGCGGAAAAAGATCTGCGAGAATAGAAGACAATGGAAATAGTTTGAAATCTCACGAGTTTTATCTACATTTCTGAATATTTTAGCACACAATTGAGGCTAACACAGCGTTAAAGAGATCGAGAAACTTAACTATTCCGTGACGTTTGAATGTAAATTAGCATACCATGACCTAATGGAAGTGAAGTTTTGACAGGAAACTTAAGGTTTGCTTCTGGGAGGGAAATATTCCGTATTAGTTTCCAATTCACTAGGTTTTCTTTGTTATTCATAGGGTTGTATATACCATAGAAACTTAAAGCCGGGGAGGGATTTGATATTCAGCAGTGAAATGTGAGGTTGTACTAAATTCAACGGGCTATATATGAGTGACCGGGATCACTCATATATAGCCCGCTGAATTTATAACGAGTTATTCAGTTCAATTCATCAACCCCACATTTCCTTGCTGAATATTAAATAAATTAAATGAAACTTCGCGAAGTGAGGATATAAAGGAAAAACAAGAACAAGGTTTTTTGCTGTATTTCTCTCTCTAAACAAAAAGATCTTTTTTTTTCTTCGCTACTAAAGAGGATTTAGGGGGTCAGTTCTGGGTTCTAGAGAATCCTCTAAAACGGCAATGGAACCATTTTTCGCTGAAAAGATGCAAATATAATCGCCTTTGGTATTTGAAGTGAAGAATAGCAGTTTGAAACCTGGGGCCGGCTGTACGAAGGGTGAATGGCTCTATCCGCCGAATAAACCCTTAACCAGCTGATAAAATCCCATGCAAAATTCCGCACGTGGATGTGGATAAAACCTTTGTTAATCGATCGTCCGCTTCTGTAATATTTCCTATATCCAAATCATGACTTCTTCTGTATACCGTATTTACTCGAGTAGACGCCGCGCCGCGGCGTTTGCATTTTTCACGATCCAGCTGCGGCGTTTATTAAAAAAAAACACTTTATTAAGTACTATATACTGTCATCTATTTCAACATAATGTCCTCCTCGTGGTCGGAATCTAACAGCTGCTGATAGAAAAAAAGTACAATCACTTCGAAATAAAAAAAGTTCTAAAAGAAAATAAATTCTCATTGCTGGTATCCTTATTTCCTATTCGGGGCCGGCGTCTATTTTAAAATATTTTGAGCTCTAAGTGCGGCGTCTATTTGAGGGAGGCGTCTATTCGGGGG